GTTGAGAAAGTATGAACTATGAAGATACTTTTTTTAACTCTGCCCTGTGAGTACTAAGAGGGCCTCTTTTAGCAAGCCCATAAAGGGCAGCCTGGTGGTGAGGAATGGACCCCTGAAAAATTCCTGGGAATTTTTTTATCCTGGGTCCCCAGAGCTGTAGACTGCCACCTTGACAGCTCGGCCATCTGGCCTTTAAAACTACTGTGAAGATACTTTGATGGCATTGGATTTTATCCCATTTGAAAATAACATGATTATTGAATTGACAGATCATTCAGATAAATTTGCTGATTATTTTCTGTGTTTAAAGTACTGAAGGCAAATTACAGTATAATAAGTAAAGAATGGATTTTAAGATACAAAATTATGGTTGGAAAAGGTTGCAAAAAGGGTGGTGTTGAAATGTATTCATTCAGGTCTAAACCAGTTACATGAACATTCTTTACGTTATCAATGTAACCTAAATATGTAACCTTATCCTAAATATGTTTATGATGATTGTTACACTATAACAATCATCATAAACATATTTAGGAGGTAAACATGACATTTACTGGGTTTTAACCAACTTGTAGAAGCAGAGCATTACATAGTTACAAATTTTAACAATCCTAAATACTGTACTTACTAAAATATTCCTAAGCTACGTAACTATTGCCACAAGATTTAATTAGTGATGAGCCATTCTAGAGGCTTGTCTATTGGACTATAATTTAAAATGATATTTTGTTAAGTATTACTTGCTCCATATCTTATTTTTTTGCAAATTATGGTAATTTGAAATAATAATACATTTAAGATCAACAAATTACAAGCAATTATGAAAAGCCATCTCAATAGCAAAACATTTACTATACTGTAAATGGAATCAAATGAATAATTCTAGAAGTTACACACACACATTCTAAACTGATTAAAAGAACAAATGTTTCTATTAATGTTTTATACATGTTATCTAAACAATTGCACCCATCTACTGTGTCTACCTACAAGGGGTATTCAAAAAGTATCGACCTTTGGTCAGCAAAAATACATTTATTGATTTTGAGGTACAAAACCCTAATCCCCTTCAAAGTAGTCTCCTTGGTAGTATATACACTTCTCCCAGCGTTCCTGCCATTGCTGGAAACACTGCTGGAACACATCTTTTGGAATGGCCATCAGCCAGTCCGTCGCATTCCACACAATGTCTTCTCTTGACTAAAATTGGGTTCCTTTTAGCGGCATTTTCAGCTTGGGAAATAGCCAAAAGTCACACGGAGCCATGTGGGGAGAGTATGGAGTGACCACCACAACAACACCAACCACAACACTCCTGTGACGAACCACAGGAGTGTTGTGGTTGGTGACGAAAGCCTGAATCAGATGCCCATAATGGGCAGATGTGTTATCACAATGGAGCTGCCAAGTTTTGATCGACCACAGATCCGGTCGTTTGCATCGCACATCATCACAAAGATGACGAAGGACCTCCTGGTAGTACTCCTTTGCGATGGTTTGGCCTTGTGGTGTGTACTCACGATAAACCACCCCACAGGAGTAAAAAAAAAACTGTCAACATGACCTTGACATTGCTGCAGACCTGCCGCGCTTTTTTTGGCCTCGAGGATCATCCCCGAAAGCCTGCTGAATCTTGCGAATGGTTTCTGCTTGGGTATCGCAAAGCTTTCGGCAAAATTTAATGCAATATTGCTGCTCACACTGTTCAGTCATTTTCTAACTTACTGGAATTCAACGAGCGCTCACTACACTTCCTCACTCATAGGCCAACTGCCAGCTACTGACACTTCCTGCAGGCGGGAAAAAATTCAGGACTGTGCATGACTATCCCCTCCACAACTCCACCAAAAGAGACCTCCCGTGCATCATTGGTTTACGCAGGAAAAATAAAGGTCCAATACTTTTTGAACACCCCTTGTATTTATACAGAATAACAAATTGGAAATAGATTTTGCTTTAACTTAAGGTACAGTACTTATGAATTACATTTTGTGCATCATATTGTAGCTTATTTAATGTAGATGAATCTTGCATCTATTTTATTGTTTAATTTCATTTAAAGTAACTAGAAACAAAAATGTGTCCAATTTTGCTCCTGCCGTAGTGACACCCCCTGCCACTATGGCAGGAGAAAAATTTCATCCGTTGAGCTTAACCATCCACAATACAAAAAACACTTCTCAAATTGACACACTTTCATCCCAGTTATTTTTAATTTTGTTATTAATTTCTGTTAATAACAAATAGACTATCCTGCTGGTTAAAATTTAATTTACAGTAATGTTATTTCTTTTGAAAAAAAATGGTGCCCAAGTAAAGACAAACTGTTACAGGTAAAGGAAAAAAGAAAAAAACTACATTTAATTAAACATTGTCAATGAAATTTGCATGCATAAATGAATAACTGTGAAGGTATTTAATTTACATGGTTATTTGAACCATTTCAAAAAACCAAAATCACATGATGAGAGAATGGGACGTGTGATTTCATACTTTGTCTTTGTTAGAATTACACTACAAAGGACAGAATTGAATATATGTATCTATGAATTGGAAATAAATGTTGCCTTAGCATATTTTATACAGTATGCATGTTGTATACCAAATCAATCTATATAAAATGTATTAAAGAATAAAATATTTTCAAAAAGCCGACTTCATAATTGACTTTTATGCATACAGTAAAACCTGTGTAAACCAGAATCATATGGTAAATATTTTTTCTGATTTAGCAGGTTTCCATTTTGAACAGATTTTTTTGATCAGATTTACTGTGTGTATATAATTTTTTTTATTGTAACTGCTGACCTTGTGTAATTATATTTAACAACTTCATTTGCCATCTTATATTCACTGATTTAACATTATATATTTTATGACTTTTCTAACATCAATATTTTGAATAATAATGGCGATTTATTTGTTTATACTTATATAAATAACTTACAAGCCACTTGTTTCCAATCTACAGTTTATTTCATTCCACATAAAGAAATGATGATTCCATTGATTACATTCAATTTAAAATACATATTTAGATAACTACAAAAGATTTATGAAAAAACATTGAATTTTTCAATTTTACTTTGGAAATATTTAGTACAATGAGCAAAACTCATTTGGCACAGAGCCCAAGTTAAATTATGATAAGCTTCAATAGTCTTCTATTGTGTAAAAAATATACAACAAAATTTGCCATTTTGTAAAAGTATGGCATTATTTTAAAAAATTCAAAGTCAGTCATATTCAGGAAAGTGACACTTTAATATTTTAAAATCATTAAACTAATTTTTAAATAATTAAAACTTTTCTTAAAGATAATTATAGTAATAGAAATATATTTAAACAGTGTATAACATATTTATGTAACTGTTTGAAAATGATTTAAGTGAAGATGTTGAGCTTTCTAATTATGGTATTTAGTATTCTAAAAACACTTAAGGCCATTTATAGACAATGTTCATTCATTCTAGTGAATGGTAAAAATTGTTGGAGATGAAAATTACAGTCGACCCCCCATAACACTGTTGATAATTCCATTTTATATGAATTCCATGTTGTACAAATATGTGAGCCGTTCACAGCCAGGCACACGTATTTGTAAAATCTAAGTGACTCGTACAACATGGAATTCATATAAAACTGAATTATCAACAGTGTTATGGGGGGTCGACTGTATATTAAAATTAGAGACTTGTCAAAATACAATTCTGGTGATCAAAGATATTAGTTCATTTATTTTTCATTTCCAAATGCCTGCAAAAAAAATTTAAATACAAACATACAATTTGCATTGTGAAGAGAGAAAATAAATATCAGTTCTTTTACTGGTTTTTATTTGGTCTATCTGATTATTAATTTCCAATAATGAAACTTTGTTTTTTGTGAATATACATAAAAAATGTGCCAGAAAAATTCTTCCTGCATTGTCTTAAGTTATAATAAACTGTAGATTGTCTGGTTCAAATTTCATTTTATATGATTTGCTTGTGATATAAAATATTTATTAAGTAACAAAATAATTACTTAAAATATTTTTAAACGCATTTGTATTTGAAATGAAATAGCAGAATGCAACTAAAATATGTATCACCTTTCTAAAAATAAAAATCAGCATATACAGCAAAACTATATTGGAATATCTAATGATAAAAGTGCACTATGAATTAATGTGTTATTTATTTATAATATATTAAGGAGTGAATCATTTCTTCACTGAATAATAAATAGTTTTCATAGATTACACAAGGTAATTTAATGTACATAATTATGAAATTTTTTGTAAACATCATTTGAGAAATATTTATTTTAAATATGATGTCAGGATGTAGGTAAAATTGTAATACTGTTGTATTTAAACTTTAGAAATTTTGAAAATTATTCTTCATAATTTATTTAGCGCAAACTCAAACAATTTTGTTCAGCATTTTATTCTAACAAAGTTTCAACTAAAGAATTCATATATGTAATTAATTACTGTTTATCATGTAAATCATTAAATGTTTGCTTAGGAAGTCATCTTATAGTGTAGTAAGTTTTTTAATTTGGCCATTAGGTGCTGTTCGCTTGCATTGATATTAAATAATACATGTTTATTTAAAGGCACATTTTCCAAGAAAGTTAAGTAATCAACTGCAAAATATGTGAGGCAACATATCATACAAACTGTAGTATGTTTGAGCAATATCTATTAGGAATAATGGATTATAAATTAAATAATGTTGAATTTAAATAGAGAATAGAAGAGATAGCTATCCTCGCTACTCATATTATTGAATTTGTGTACATTTATAATTTATTAAAATTTTTATCTGCATTTTATAAAATAACTGTTCATTTTTGCCTTGAATAAATAGAGAGGTTGAGGCGCACGTTTTAAATGTGTACGTGTGACGTTTGGCGCCGCTTTTCCGTAAGCCTAAAAGTTTGACGATGGTGTTTGGAATGTCGAGCGTGATTCCACCGACTATCCAAACACCATTGTCAAACTTTTAGGCTTACGGGAAAGCGCCGCTGAACGTCACACGTACACGTTTAAAACATGCGCCTCAACCTCTCTAATGACAATGAATAATTTTCTAATTAGAAATAAAAGTTTTAAATTTAAAGTTAGAAACTGATATTTTCACACCCTACTTTTGTCATCATGTTGTAAAAGTGTAATATATCTTTCAAATAAATAATGTTTACTAAAAATTCCATAAACTAAAATTTATAAAACAATTAGGTTATTTCATAGCACTATATATTATAATAAAATACATACAGCAAGAATGTATGTTTCAATCAAACTAATACAGAGAAAATTTGTATTTTTTAATATAGTTCTAATACCAAAAAATACAAACAATAATCTGAATTGAATTTTATTGAACATCAAAAGCACTTTCCATTGAAAATATAGTTCTTAATTCATAAATGAATTTTTGTTTTTCAGTTCACCCGATTATTATGCATTATTCATTATTGGATATACAAAATATACATGGTGGTTAAATCAAAAATCTTTATTTTTTAATACAATCGTCTTCCATATTTACTACTATACAATTTTAAATTTTTTTTTTTTTATGTAAAAAATTTTTTCCACTTATTAAACATTAAAAACCAATTTTGTATTATGTTGTGTAACAATAATTTTGTAAACTTCCCGAATACTACTGAGAAAATTTTGTTTTCATTTTCCACTTTTAATGTAAAAACTCACAAAATTATATCAGAATGCTGTTTCTCACAGTTCTGAGTTTTTTTCTTTACCAAAAGTTATTGCTTATTTAAATAATATAATTCTGAAATCAATAATGAAAAAGAAAATTTTGCAATTTGTAATTTTTCACAAATTTTTGTGTTTTTATAATCATATTACAAGCAATTAGTTTATCAACATCATTGAAAATATATTTTAACAGCTTATTTTTAAAAAGATTAACATATTCTATATATATATATATATTTATATATATAACATAGTCACACTAAACTAACATATTTATACAGTTTAAATTGCATTGTATTAAAGGAAGTACTAAATCCTTTTACTTATCCCCATAATAATTTTTACACAGTTAAAAATTTGTGAATTTAGGGGACTCATAATTGTTTATCATCTTATTTTACAACAGAGGGAGAAGCATAAGTTTACAAAGGAAACCCTCAACCGTGACGTTTATATAGATATACTATATGTCGCACTTTCCTCAAAACACAGCGTGCGTTAATTGATAAATCTTTGGTATCAGTCAGTCCATTTGTTGATGCCATATTAATATTTATTTATTCCAAAAAGTCTCACCATGTGAAACTGAGGAAGCTTAGGTAGCAGTACAAGCATTAGGAACACGAAGTTGATTGCAAAGTGTGTGGAATCGTATTTCGTGTAAAAGCTTGTCAAAAAGAATCTGAAGAGGTAAAAACTTTTAATAATTCTGATTATTAAAAATATTACATTGAATAAATTTAGTACTCACAAAATGATTGGCACCATTGTCAAGAACTTTCTAGTAGCTGTAAATTGAACACCATTATCTATTTGTTCCCAATGAGTGAGCTGCCTCACTTCTCCTTGATCACCAGGTTCCCATGGTGTTCCTTTTACAATATGAAGTCCAATAAACATTGCCTAAAAATTTTTAAATGATTTATAAAAAATATAAAATCATTATTATACATATATATTGTTATTACAATGACAAAGTACATTATTGTAAATCCAATCAAGCATTAAAAGTTTTCTTTTATGCTATTTATACATCTAAGTTTTATGTATACATGTTTCTTTAAATGATATGAAATATAATGATCTGAACAAATACGAGGTCTGTTCAAAAAATACACGGACTGACGTCATAAAACAAAATGTACTTTATGTAGAAGTTACATGTCTGGGTCCCCTTCAAAGTACTCTCCTTCCCAACGCACACACTTATCCCAACAGTGTTTCCACTTGTTGAAATAGTCCTGATACGCTTCTTTTGTAATATGTCTTTCAGCGCCTTCATCGCATTTGCCTTAATCTCGGGAATCATCTCAAATCATCTTCCTTTCAAGGTTCTTTTGAGTTTGGGGAACAAGAAAAAGTCACAAGGAGCAAGGTCAGGTGAGTAGAGGGGTGGGGAAGAACAGTGATAGAATGTGTGGCCAAAACTCACGAGTTCTGAGGGCTGAATGGGCTGGAGCATTGTCATGATGGAGAAACCAATTGCCACTCCTCTACATTTCTGGCCTTTTGCGACAGATGGCATCCCTCAGATGTTTCAGAACTTCAGTGTAGTAAGTCTGGTTCACTGTGGAGCCTTGGGGGAGGTACTCATGATGAACAACACCCTTAGCATCAAAGAAAACTGTCAGCATCACCTTGACACTGAATTGAACTTAGCGAGCTTTTTTTTTGGTCTGGGGACGTTTCATCCACCCACTGGTTGAGTATAGCAAATGTTTCAGTCGCAGATTTTCCAAGTTTAACACAAAATTTCACAGCAAGTCATTGCTCCATCAGGTCATTCATTCTGAAATCCAACAAACAAAAAAATTGCACTTCACTAAAAACCTTGCAGCTAATCGACAAATAAAGATATCTGTGATCGGAAACGGCATTATCACCAGACGATCTGTACAGACTTAGCGACACCAAGCTGATTCCCCTGGAATAAACTGGAGCCGTGCAATTCGAACAGTCTGCATATTTCTTGAACAGACCTCGTAAAGTTTATAGAACTGTTGTACAAAATAAAAATCTTGAACAAAATTTCAATTTGCTTAAATTACCAATTTAAAAAACCACCTATAATGCTTAATTCAGATATTATGATCTTATCTTTCTTCAGTTACATTAAACTCAAGAATGTAATTAGGGGAATGATTTCATTGGATTCTCAATGACATCACTGCTTCATTTATACTTAATTTTACAATTTATTTAATTTTATTTACAAAGTGCTCACATAAGATTACTAATTATACAATTATTACATGAATTCAGTTAAGAAATCTATACTGCTGAAGTTTACTAAAAATAATATTTCAATTTTTAATTACTTGAAGATATATCAAGTTGTAAAAGTCAAATGATTTTTGGAGATATTATACATAAGTAAATATTACATTATTTCAGAGAATGTAATCATCCTGAGAATATATAATATATATATATAGCATTTTAATAAACTAAAATTTTTTTTTAAATAAAAAGACAGTCACTTCCGAAAACTTTTGTTGATCACCATTTATTTCTTTAAAATGTTCCAGAATCATCCAGCGAAATTTTAAAATTAAAAATTAAACATGTTATTTTGAATCTCCCTTCTTAGATCAAAAAGAAATTTTAATGCCTTGCACACTTTTATTAGTAAATTTTATAGTTATTAATTTGTGTTTTGATAAGATTCTTGGGAAATCCATACTGACTCAAATCATCCTGTTTATATACATCAATATTTTTACATTTACCTGCAAGCAAAAGAAGAACCAAAAGAAATTAAAAAGATATGATAACTACATAAAAAGCTGACTGAAAGTAACTAAGCTTTAGAATGGTTTCGAATTTCTTATTGCTTCTGTGAATATTTAAATGGATAATTTTTTAAATATTTAAAAATATCTGGTCATTCAATCTTAACTCACATAATAATATAGGTTTATCCCTCATATACACCGGAGAATGTTATGAACAATCACTCACATTACAAATTTGAAGCTTTTTTTAAAAACAGTGGTTGATCGGTTAACAAACATAATCCATTCCAAGACTTTGTTCGCTATCCGAATTGTTCATTAACCGATTATCGATTTACCATAGATTTTTATGGGAATTTGATTAATTTGTTCTGGAGACCCCAAAAAATAAAAATATATACAGTATACACTTTCTTACTACATTTATTTATATGCAATAATAAAAGTACTGTACATATATGTACTGTACAGTCTTGCATTTTTATCAATCGTGATTTTTCCATTTGTGGGGGTTAAAGAATCTGTCTAATGTTGATTGCTTCTCTCTTTTTTTTTTTCAGGATTTTTCAGAAGTAATTAATAGCATTGTAATTGTAGAGATCCCTAAGCCTATTAAACCGTAACCCGCTTTGGATGCCATTCTAAAACATGTTCCGCCTTCCTCCCACGTCTTCAAAAAAATGTTTAATAGCAGTTATTGACATTAATTCTCCTTTTCAGAAGAAAACATATCTCACCAAGTTTCTTCTTGTTCTTCATTCAAGAGTTCTTGGTGGTGTTCTGTCATCAGATCCATTTCAGCTTCCATTATGAGCTCTTCAATGTTCTTTATTTCTCAGATGTGATTTTTGTTACTCCTTAAGCTGCTTGAGTCTTCTTGATTGTACAGTAACTTTCTTAGGCAAGATTGATCTGCGGGCTACTGTAGTCCTGTTCAAGCCATACTGCCCAGCGACATCAGACATCCTCTGCCCACTCTCTACCTTTGCTCTTATATTATCACATTTCAAAAATAAAAACCCCAAGCAAAACTTATTAAGTGCCCACCCAACAGTCTTGTGAATACTATAAAGTTGTTTCTGTCAGAAAAATAAAAGGCTGGAATTACAAGGGAGAATTTCAAAGTTTGAAGGAATACTATATACTGGGTTGAGCGTCGACGTCTCCTGCACTTTGAAAAGTTTAGACTTGTTGCCTGAAGACAAAGAAAGACCAATCAGTATTCATTATTTTATGTCGCTTCTTCTTGTGTTTGTTCAGTGAAGTGTTTGTTGTCTGAACATAAAAATCTTTCGCAAAAGTGTTCATTATCCAATTTGTTTGTTAACTGATCACCCACTGTATCTTCATCCAATAATTTATCAATGTGATTGCATTGTAAATAGAAAAGAAATCTGACCTAACTTTTCAGCATTTTTTCAAGAAAATGTTCTTTATTCATTAGTTAGCTTTGTTTTCACCCTTGCATCCAGATACCTTAGGTGTTGACATCATTATTAAAACTATCCATATCATTAATATAATTAAAATTACCATATTTTGACGAGTATAAGTCGCTGTCAAGCATAAGACGCACCCCTATTTTGAGACAAAAAATTTAGAAAAAAACTGTTTTAATGGGATTGTCTACAGATGCATTTTATTCGTTTTTTTATTCAAGAATATGACGGATGGATTAATCGATACCTTTATTAAACTGAAATAATCGTCATTTCTTAATGTAAACTCAGAGTTCACGTGATGACAGTCGACAGAACATGGCGGCGATGACTCGTGTGTCGCTACTCTGATAATCTAGATACTCTAGCCATTCGGTTGAGGAACCATCTGCTTAACGGACCACTGCACAGGTTGGTCCCTAGAGTGGACCACTACTGTAGGTAATTTCACTGTAAAAATGGTTACCTGTCAAGTATAAGACGCACCATGATTTTGAGCCCCAAAAAGTAGTAAAAAAAGTGTGACTTATACTCGTCAAAATACGGTAATTAAGAAAAGCAAAAAAGTGCTTACTTTTAGACAGAAAAGCCTACAACTCAGTGGTAATCCTAAGTTACAAAGTAAGTTGGTATCCTATCAAGTAGGCAGAAAATTAATAAATACATTGTTTCCTTGTACTTTGAGCAACTCTAACTTCAAACACTGAATTCAACAAAAATTCTCTTCAGAGTTCAAACAATGCTTCAAAATTCAAATTGCACGAGCAGTGAAAAATGCAACTGAAGCATAAAGTAAGCCTGAAAACAACAATCTCAAATTAAGAGTAATGTGTTAAATTTCACAACTTATAAGTAGTAAAGTAAGTTACATGAGAAATTGGAAACAATGTTTCTCGATATAGTTAGCCTGGGTGAGCAGTTTGAGCAGTAATATGCCATAAATGAAAGATTATAAATGACTAGCTGTTACCTGCAACTTCGCCCATGTGGATTTTGCAAGCGAACACCATTTATATTCAGTATTTCAACAACCATAGTAATTGTTATATAATACCTACCACTGAGAATCAAATGAACTGTTTTTAATTTGATCAATTTCTGGAATGTTTACAATCGTTCTATAATCGAACCAATATGCAATAACAAATTCAAATTTAAAACGGTTCAAACATTTGATTAAAAAATCAAAATATATAAAAATATTTATAACAATGTCTGAAATGTTATCAATTTAATACACCTAAGTACTCAATGAAGACTAAACGTAGTTGTAAATAAAAAAATTACATCTAAAATAGTAAAGTAGAAGCCATTTTTCCGGTTAAGCCTTAATTCTTCTCCCTCTCCCCCGCGGGGGAATTTTGAAAAATCCCTTCTTAGTGTGCGTTTCCATGACGTACCCTAACTGTGTACTAAATTTCACCTCTTTAGGTTCAGCGGTTTGCCCTGGGCAATGACGAATCAATCAGTCAACACAAGTAATTTTATATATTTAGATAAAAGAAAAAAATTGATGAAAAGTGTAATACTAAAAAAACAATAATAAAATAAAATCATTTCACATTTAAGCAGGAAAAGTCTTCAATAAATTGAAGTCACTCATTAAAACCAGCTGCGTTTGAGATTTTATCTAGTCTCGACTGAGGGAACTGTCTCCCCCTCATTCTTCAACAATCCTAGACATGTCCAATCTTGTGTTCCAGTTCCAGAAGGTTCTAGAACAATGTCACTATCACAAACTGCAAGAGAGATATTCCAGAAAGTTCCAAAATATTTTGATTGGAGAAAATTGTGGAAAATTCTCCTCTTATTAGAACTAGTGAAAGATGCCATCTAGTGGGGATGAGACAGTACTACTGCCACTACAGCCACTGTAACAATGAGAGCAAGTGCAGCACATGGAGACCATCCACATAGGACGTAAACCCGATTCCTTTTTCTTTGAACTTGGATAACTTTTCCATGGTTCAACCTACATTCACCAAACTCTGCAAAAAATACGAAGCAACTCTCTGGCTTTATATTCAAAAAAACAAAAAAAAAACAGCACCCAAAAATCTCAAAATGCTTTTTGTTATTAAGCGTCAAAGAGGTGAAAGTCAACATTTTTGTTTTTTGATTATATCTTATCTCACAGTTAATTATATTTTCCAGAAATTATTTTATGCAGGATTCCACTGAGCATTTTGACACCAAAATCATCAAAATCTAATGAGGGTATTTTTTTTTTAAAAACTGCAAAACTCATACCAGAATCCTGAGTTCACTTCCTGCTTGCCCAGGCAATTAAATCTATGTAAAGGCAGCATTAAAAATATGCAAAAATTTCTTGTTCAACCCAATATCACTTTTACTTACTAACCACAGCATCCAAGAAATGTGTTGACACTACAAGAGGAAGGCTGTAATATTGACCATTGAAATGAAAATGGAACTTATGTAAAGCCTGTAAGCAGTACACATGGCAGATCTGGCAACCATGTTTAAGATGCTGAATTCAATAGTGTGCAACTGGTAAATGTAATTTTCACTTTATTATTCAGTATTTACATATTTTATTAATTATTTTTGTGTTTTAGTTTATTACTAGGACATTTAATTTTGTTATTTTTTCCTTAAATTATGTATATATGTTGTTTTAAGTTTATTACACAATATTGTTCTAATTGCATCTATTGAAGCAGCATTACATAGGAAAATTTTCACTACGGAAAAATTTTATGATGAAAAGGATCTAAGTGTTAATTTCGACAATCTTATGTTGTATTTAGTAACAGAATAGTAGCAGACTGCCAAAAAAGCATGTGTCTTTTTTCTTTAATTAAGAAAAATTAAATATCATTAATGAAATTAAATATTTTGGAGTAAGAATATCTTTTACATTCCTATCAACAAACATACTAATACTATTTAGATATCTAAGGATGAGGAATATTCATTCTCAGTGTAACTACAGCAGACTCTCCCACATCCAACCTTCCCATATCAAGACACTACCTTATCTAGACTGATCAACGACAATTAAAAGTTTAAAAATATTGTACACTACTCTGAATTTTACCTTTCCATACTGCAGTGTTTAAATTTAAAATTTTTTTCATTGAGGCTATTCTGAAGTTCATAAAAGAGCATAATCACCACTGATGTGATAATGATGAGGTATTGGCGTAATGCTGCAGTTCGTCAGAAAATCAAGAAGAAAAAACAAACAACTTTAACACAATGCTTTCAAAATTAGTTGTAATTGTCAAAATAAACATTTTTTTTTTTTATACATAGAAATACATGTTACAGCCTTATTTTAAAATTATCACATTCCCTTATTCATATTTTTCTAATATCTGGATCACACCCACCCACATTAGTTTGGATATGGGAGAGTCTACTGTATTTAGTTTGATGATAATGAATTTATTGTCATATGCACTCTTATTTGGAGTCCAGGGTTATGCGAAAAACTGAAAGATGTACAAAACAAAATTTATACACAGATTTTACATGATGACTTTCAATTGACTTCTCAATGTGACATAACATTGAATAAATTAAACAGTGTTGAAAATATAAATTCTATCTAAATATTCAAAATATGCTTTAAGTTCAGATATAAAAAATAAGACATTGAATGAAAGAGAATTCAAAACACTTGATAAACTTATCTGTTCAAAAAAATTAGGAAATTCAAATGTAACTGATATTCAAGATAAACAAACTGATGTTTCATCAGATGAAGCAATTGATGATGTTATTGTAGATGAAAATCAAATCATTTTTGTAGAAAACTTTAACTTAACTATGAGGAAGACTTCAATGAAGAAATCTGAAGATAAAAATTCTGGACCAACAAGGAACAAATCATTAACAAAGGAAAGACAACAAAAACATTAAAAAAATATTGACAGTATTTTTTATGGTTTTATTGACAATATAATGAAATAAAAAAAGCATTAAAATAAGCACTCTCATCTTTTTTTTGTTTAAAGCTTCATCACATTAAAAATTCAGTACAAATTGAAACAGGCAGTTGACCAGATTTTAAACTAAATTAATAAATATCTGCAAATTTTTTACATTTGTTAAAAGATGGAAAAAACTTCCCCTATTTTGTTTCATTTATTTATCATCATTAATTATGTAAATCAGTAATAATATTTAATTATTGTATATAATTTATATTCTAACAAATGCAAAAACTTTTCCACATAATTTTAATTTAAAATCTGTTCAATCAACCACTGTTCGAATTATACTGGATTAAATATTCAATATCTGACAAAACCTTAAAAAGGGGGGGGAAGTGTTTATTTTAAAATTATTTTTTCTATTGTATTATCAATAAAACAGTATATTTCTTAAGATTTTTGGAGAAAAAGAAAAAAACATTTCTGTTTGCATGAAAAAATTAGGAGTCCTAAAGCTACATGATATATTTTTGAAATATTACTTCATTATATCACTCACTATCTATCATTCTTTTAATATGGCTCTATAATTTGTAGATTAGCTTTTAAAAAACCTAAGTTACAGAAAGTTGCATAATACCCAGAACTAAGAAAAATTTTGAACATTTCATTAACTCCATGATTTGTGTTACATTTTATTTGAAAGTGAACATAAGAAATGCAACTGTAATTCATTCTCAAATCTAACTTTAATTAATATGAAGTTAATTTTAATAAACTTTTTATTCACATAAAACAAAATAAGAGCAACTTTTACATGATCACTAGTTACAAAATATGTTTCTTAAAATTTTATTTATTATTCAACAATGCAAAAATAAAACTTAATACTCTTCCCTCTTTAAATCATAAAAAGGAAACATTATTCAAAACTTTTGTGCAAATTTCTTTCAGATGGTTATTGAAAATTTATTTCTCATATTGATTATATAATTTTCTAATGCCAGAAAAATTATACAGATACACAAATGGATTATTGATGTAGCCAATCAATTGATGAAACTGTAGTTAACTAAATAAGTTCAAAAATAAAACAGATATTAGAAGCATTGAAATATGAACAGCTACTAAAAACTTTCATTTGTAGTTTCACTTGATGAAATAACATTCATAAAAAAATGAGAGAGATTATCTACATGATCTTAATTATAATTCATATTAGTATACATATATTTATTTTAAAAATTTCTTTACATGTATAAATATACATGTAAAGAAATAAATCTAAGTATAAAAACATTAAAGTTTTTATACTTATTCATACATATGTGTTTCATCATTTAGTACAATAATGTAAACTCAAAAAACTGTACTTACTGCATTATGAATGATATTAGTTAATGTCCAAACCCAAGCTACACTAAGAAAAGGAAAACTCAGAAGAGTCAGATGGAGTGCTAAAACACCTAAACCATAAGTGAGCCACATGCCACGACTATTTAGCCAATAACTATTTGGATTCACTTCAGCTGGTGTTGCTCCTAGCATCATTTTGATTTTTCCTACATATACCTATTCTGAAAACAAAAAATAATCAATCAGTTTTAAAATTAGTTTAAAAATAATATTCTATACAGTAAATTTTAAGGTATAACTTGTAATTTGTAGAAATATTTTTGACATTTTTAAAAGATTGTTGCAAGTTAGAGAATATCATTTAAAATTATTTTTATTTAAATACAAGTATTTATCATCATTCCAAATTCCAAAATGCAACAGTAAAAAACTATTATTCTAATTATATATATATATA